AATGATAGACTCTGGGCTCTTCTAAAAAGTTAGGCCTAAATCAACATTTTCCATTATCAGCACCAACAAACACACAACTAACTCATCTCCAGTGTTTTCACAGGGGTGTTTCAGATCTGTGCTCAGTAATCACCAGTGCCTGAAGAATTAGAGTATTTTTTACTGAATGCAAAATGAGAGGTATGGCTGTTTCTCATGCATAAGCAAGCATAGAAACCCATATACTGTCCCCTCTAACAACTGCTATAAAGTACAATATTAAAAATTCATGTTTGTGAGCATTCAGATATGTAAAACTGCATTTTAGAGCACACATTCCAGTTGTTCAAAACAATATAATTAATTAGGGATTAGACTCTCTGACTTTTACAACTGTGATCATAACATTAAAATGTCCTGTTTAGATACACTTATAAAACCTGCTAAAACAGGCATGCTTATACTAGTACAAATGCACCCAAAATAAAGATTGCATTAATAATACTAATGTATTTTGAGCAATGCTACTTTTCTGTTCAGGTAAGATCTAAGTGTTTATGGGTGGATTTTTTTTTCTATTATTTCATAATCCATAGTCCGTAATTTTTATGCATAAAAATAGCATTTTCAACTTGCTAATAAGGATTTGAAATTATATATAGTGAGGATGATGCTATTTAAATTTAATAACAATTAAAGTGTTGAGGATACTGCAGAACATCAGGCGTGTGGCATGGCATAGTATTTAAACAGAGGTATATTTACCTCTATCTTGTGATGCAGAATTGTTACATGCATTTTAAAAATTTTTTACATTTAATGTAAGTTGTTATTCAAGGTTCTTTCATGTCTACTTTGAGCATAAATTCTCCTTAGATGCTTTCACCGGAATGACTTTGTTTATTACAATTTCTGAATCTACGTATGAAATCTGTAAACCTTTATTCATTATAGTTAACACACTCTGTCACTGCTCCCATTCTCACAGGGTCACCTGCTAGATATGATCCTGCAAACAAAATTTACACTTACCGAAGTGATGTTTGTCCTTGGGTGATAACTACAAAATATCAAACACTGAACCTGAAGCAGATGAGTAAATGCCTTTGGCTGGCTGTCACCACATGCTTTTTATTACGAATCAGCTGAATCTAGAAAGTACTACTATGATACAGATACATAAATTTGGCCTCATACAAAATTTAAATTCTCCTATTTCCTACTACCACTGCTAACCAACAGCCGCATTAGGATATTTTGAGCTTCCTGCTTAATGTATAAGATCCTGTTATCTGTCATCAATGCTCAGTTTTCATTGCATACATGTTTTTTCTTATTATTCAAATGTTTTATTACTGATGCAACTCAGGAGAAGGCTAGTTTTTTCTTAAGACTCCAAATAAAATTTTTACCTTAATGCAATTTCAAACAAACCTAAACTATTTATTTTTCTGTTCCTGAAAACTTTCCATCAACAATTCCTGTATTCCAGAATCCCGCTTCTGCAGATTTAAGGCTGTACAAACACTTTCTTTCTCTTTCTGTCTTTCTCAGACAGTTCAATGATTACATAGTCCTAGTATTTAAATGCAATTAATTGGATTATACAAACACACAAAATTCAAAAATACTGATGAGACTTCTGCCACCAATTCTGAACATCCCACTTAGTCTTGATTCAGCATGCAATACGTTCTGTAAAACACTGCTTTCCTTCTTGAAAGCTTCCTTAAATGATATTCACACCTGAACTGTTTTAAATAAATTTCCTATATAAAGTAATTTATATTATTTTAAATTGCAGTTACATAATAAACTTTCAATTAATTTAAATGACACTTGTCATTGAAGACTGTATAGAAATAACAGTGACAGTGTTTGAGCCTGTTCTGAGTTAATACATTGGTAGCATACTTGAGCTTAATCTCGTAACAAACTCAGAGAAATCTACAAATTCAGCTAAAACACAAATATTTGGGGTGTTCCTGATTTACTCATCACATAGAATTTTGTGAAAATGCTTCTACTTTAATGTAGTCCAATCACACATATCATTGATACCAAACGTTTTAAATATTGCAGAACATGATGAACACGTATCATCCAGAAGCATTACAAATGAGAGTTACTGACAGCAAGATTATTTTTAAAAGGTACCTGTAGACACAACATTGGTGGCATGGTTAGAAACCGGCAGGCACTCTGCAGCGCTGTGATGCATTATCAGAGGCAGAGAGGGAGAAGAGTCAGAATTCAAGGGTACAAAGGTGTCAGATGAAGCAAATGCTTGGCAAGTCATACCCTCCAACAGGCAAAAGAGCCACTTGCCCCTGTGTGATTAACGGCAGCTCAAACTCTATTCCAGGCTTTTTACCTGCATATACATATACAGGAGGGCTCCAGAGCACAGGGAGGTCGTGTGCAGGTATTTATATCACTAGGAAATCCCTTTATCCATTTTAATGTTCTTTTCCCAGCAATATTGCTATACTGCTATAGAGCCTCCTTCCTTCCCACACAAACACAAAACGTGTCCAGTTAATGGGGGGGGGGGGGAAATGAGAAATCGGAGACACTATTTGACAGATATTTTCAATTAGGTCTTTTGTGAAGAACAATGACCAGAAAAAAAAAAAAAAAAAAGTATCGTCTCCAAAGTCAGTAGCAATGAGACAGATACGTTTAATACTAAGTAGGTTTCCACAGTTAACACCTGCCCCCAAAATCTCATCGAGGCAATTGTCTGGAAGGAAACCTGGCTGAGACCTCAATCGAAAGTCTGCAAAAGTCAGGAACCTATAGCAAAATAATCTAAATTAACCTAATTCCCAGAAGTTGCACAGTGATCATTTGTCTTAACGTATACTAGCATAAATCAGAGACTTGTAATACGGAGCAGCTGTATCCAGGAAGAAGTTTCTGAACAGATAGCTTTATGACAAGCTAAATGTTTATGTAAGATAAACTCTTGAAAGAGCCCATAATGTCAAATAAAACTCATTCACATTTCCTATCACTAATTTATACTACCACAGCATTTACAGTGTCATCCAGAAGGTCCTGGTCTTTATTGTGCTAAGTAAAAGCAAGATCTTTTCTCAAAGAGTTTTCCGAGTGAGTTGTTGGCATGAGATTAGTATTACTTTGGAGCAGTAAAGAACATTACAGGTTCCCTTAAAAATTATGAAAATTACTGCAGTATACCACAGTTACATATTCCAGGTATATGACACAAATTTAAAAAAAAAAAAATTACACAGGTTGTCTATTTCATTAATTTTTACTTTTTTAGGAGGTAAAAATCCATTGATGTGGAAGATTTTCTTTGTGGTCTGTTTTTTGGGGTGGGTTTTTTTTTTGTGTTTTGTGACCATAGATGGTTGGGTTAGACTTATTTATTTTATTTAAAGATGACCATACCTTCTGTGTGTTTGGTATTCCAAACTGGTTTAAATACCTGAATTAAGATTTTGATGGCATAGTCTTCAGATGTGTGATATGGGAGTAATCATACATGTTATTGTATCACTACTCACGGCTTACCGCATAACAGTGGTATTGTCAAGCCATTTGTAGATGAAGATTCTGTCATCAAATGAACTGCCACCTATATTACTTTAGCCTTGGTCTGATATATATTCAAGTCTGCGGACTCATCAGTACACTGACTAATGAATCAGAACTGAGTCTTAAAATCTAGTATTTCATTCAGCTGAGGATATATTTGGAACTCATGCAATTCTCAGATCAGAGCATGGGACTGAAGGAAACTAGGACGGAAATCAACAATGATGACAGTGTCTTGTAACATCTTACATGCTATAAATAGTTCTCAAATGGTATATCCTTCTTATGACACAAAAAATTTTGTTAGCTCCAATGGCAGGTGTGTAGCACTTTGGGCCAGAGTGCTATACCTAATAGAAAGTGCATAAACTGTTACCCAATTGAGTGGAAATTCAATAATTATTTTAATCATTTTCATCTCTGGTGACATTTTCTCACTCAGCAAGAAGCATAATACATCCACAAAAGGCGTCAGTACACCTGCCTACTGGTGTCTTGAAGCCATGGGAGAAAAAGAACCACTAAGAACAACTATACAGCCTTGTCCTTACAATTCTTTTTCCTCAACTCCCCGCAGGTAACACTTCTACCACAAACTCATAGTTAAATGCAAAGAGATTGTGTCCCTTCCCCAAGTGCAAGATGGAGCTCACTTCCAGATTTCCATTTCTTCCTGAGGTTAGGAGACTTACCTAACTTCGCCTAAGTAGGTGCTCAAGCTTTCCAGACCTATACAGCTCATGAGAGGATGGTGCAGTATGTTCCTGAAGGGTGCTCACCTGCAGAAGCTGGGAGCAAGAGTGACTAGGAAAGTACGTGCAGCCAGCAATCATGAGGCATTGAACTTTTCCTCAGAGTATGAGAAAAGCTGTTCTGTGATGCCATCCCAGACACGACCTCAAATGAGTTTTTCATGCCAGTGCTATAGTGTTTCGTACTGCTGAATGACTTGGATTTTTATTTTTACGTGTTTGCGCCACACTGCCTACTTTCCACTAAGGTAACTTCTTCACTATTTTTCCTTTTGTTTTGATTATGACTGAGTTTTTAGTTGCATTTAGTTTAAAATAAAGTTATTTGTCTGCATTTTTGAGCATTTGGAATAGCTAGACTCTGTTACCAATACCAGGTATTTGACAAATTTCACACTCATCAGATAGAATAATGAAGCTCATTTTTAAAGAGAACAGCACCTCTGCTAAAGCTTTGTTACAACCCCCTGTGGATACTGTGCTAATCTCTTACTACTTCTGTTCTGCCAAGAATCCCTTGGTGGTGACTTCCTGACACCAGCCACACTCAGCTATTTGGCTGGGCTTCAGACACTGTTTTGCCCATAGTTACCTTATGACTCTGTAGACAATGATTTCATGGTCAATTTTAAACTCTGCATTACAAGGATTTTGCCAACATTTACTCTTCTTACCGCAGCTCCTATCTAGAGCTGCAGTAATAGGTACTCTTCTGCTTGTTTAGGGAGGTCCTGGGAGAACAAAGACCTGAGAAGTGCTTCCTTACTGCCTTGCTGACATCTCAGGAACCAGTGCCAGGACTTTGTCCAAAGACACTCCATTCTGGCCATAAGAACATGCTAATCATAAGCAAAAAGAATGATACAGTGCTCTTCTCCTGTGCCAAGAAGCAGTCAGACTTTGGGACTGGAGAAGTCAGGTTGAATTAACAGCAGCTTCTCTCTTCTGGCTACACTCACAGAAGACCCAAGATGTTGGATGCTGGTAGACCACCAATGGGAGACCTGCAGTAAGGGGGATTTTTCGGTTGGTTTGTTGGTTGTTTTAAAAAAAATAAAAACTTAATCTTACATGACTGTAAAGGGTACCCAAGGTCCTTTTTCCCTCCTCAGATGTTAACAGAATGTGCCAGCTTATCTACAGCCTTAGAGCAGAGATACTACCCCTTACTTTGTTACATGACCTATATCTGTCCTCCCTTCAAACCACAGTCTTTGGCCAGACCTTAAAAAGAAAGGCTGGACTATGCTAATTATGTACTAATAAATCCCAATCACCATCTGAACCTCAACACTCAGCATCCCAATTTTGGACAGCTTATGGAAACAAAATGTATGTGTCCTTTTCTGGTGAGAGAGCGCCTTATGAATGAGAAAAGCTTCACTGGACATACTCAAGTGGACCAAGAAATATACATGGAAGTTTTTATCACCCAGAGAGCCTTCTCTTCCTTTATTTCTCAATTATCTTCTGATAGTTAAAAATGAAAGACTAACAGTTGAACTGAGGGTTTCAGCCAGTAATTTCAGATCTGCTGCTACCAACAGAAAGAGATCTTTCCTACACTTACAAGTGCTCTCAAAAATGCAGTGGAGGTTTTCTGTCCCGAGACACAGACTCCATTCTCCACTTGGATGGTAACGTGACGTTGGTACACATCACAGTAAAGCCTGTCTGGCCCACCCACACTCCCGGGCCACTGCCACCACCCCGCGCTGTACCACCTCCTGAATCCTCAGTTGAAACTGGCCTTTCAAGTGGCTATTACTTCTATAAGGATGACTAGGGAAAATTAAGATTTTAATTACTGAACCCCTTTTTATACTGTCTGTTATAATACTGAGGTCACTAATTTTTCCCTTGTTGTCTCCAATTTTTACTTCATGTCAGGAGACTGATTCTTTTCTTCCTAAAAGTGTTCTGATTGAATTCCAAAATGCTGAAGAAAGCCTTCAAAAAACCTTTGGGCTTTTGTTTAGACAGAATTAAGCTATTTGCTTTCATGGCGGATATGTTCCTTCACATGGTTTTCTCGGCTTAGAGGTAACCTCCAGTTGTAGTGAGGACTGGCTGTGAGACAGCCAGGGAAAGCACCATCATTTTGCTCACAGGAACACAGCATCTCTGTTCCTAAGACATGATCCCATGCTGATTGACAACAGGGATTTTCAACCTCACCTTTGTCAAACACTACGTAATTGCAAAGGAAACCAGACCCAATGTCGGTCTTGGCAGCATCATTCATCCATTCTTTTTCCTGGGTCTCCAAGACCTTCATCTAGATAAGATGCAAATATAAGGCTTGTTCAAATAAAGAGCTTGTAGAGATGGAAGCATAATCTACAAGCATAATCACTACAAAGCTCCTAAGCCTGAAACATATTCCACTCAAATAATCACCCACATGTACATTTGTACTCTAGAGAGGGAGTGTTTGTATAGATATATATGTATACACACCCATGTATCCCTCTCTCCCAATAACGCGTGTTAGAGAACCTCTGGTTCCTTGGAGAGGAAGCTTCACTTTTGCCTTTACTGTACACGGGGTGGGGGATCTTTAACACTTTCTATTTCTGGTACTACTACAACTTGCACCTTGTCACCCCTATGTGTTTTTGTACAATGTACTTTTATGTAAAAATTCCTCTGTCACACGTTTCAATTTTATGCAGAATACCTGACTTCCCAGGTTTCAATTCCATAACTTCATGGTTAGTTTTCACTAAGTTAGGTAAAAACTAGAAAATAAATAGAAAGGAAACAGAAAACTGCCATCTTCTTTCTACTTTGTCAGTAAGAGTCTTTTGCAGATGCATGATAAAACAATGGGTTGAGCATGCTCCCACCTCATTCCAGATCTCCAGAGTCTACTAAGCTTCCAGTTGTATCATTCTTCTGTGCAGGGTATTTTCTTAATTCATGGTACTCCTGGCACACTTGGCACTGCCCATAATCATGCAAAGCTGAGCAGTCTGTC